ACCTGACCGACTGTAACTGGCTCCGCCTGCTACCTGACCGACTGACTATAACTGGCTCCGCCTGCTACCTGACCGACTGACTGTAACTGGCTCCGCCTGCTACCTGACCGACTGACTGTAACTGGCTCCGCCTGCTACCTGACAGACTGATTGTAACTGGCTCCGCCTGCTACCTGACCGACTGACTGTAACTGGCTCCGCCTGCTACCTGACCGACTGACTGTAACTGGCTCCGCCTGCTACCTGTCCGACTGACTGTAACTGGCTCCGCCTACTACCTGACCGACTGTAACTGGCTCCGCCTGCTACCTGACCGACTGACTGTAACTGGCTCCGCCTGCTACCTGACCGACTGACTATAACTGGCTCCACCTGCTCCCTGGCAGACTGACTGTAACTGGCTCCGCCTGCTCCCTGGCAGAATGACTGTAACTGGCTCCGCCTGCTCCCTGGCAGACTGACTGTAACTGGCTCTGTCCTGCTCTCTGGCAGATTGACTATAACTGGCTCCGTCTGCTCCCTGGCAGAATGACTAACTGGCTCCACGTGCTCCCTGGCAGGCAGACTATAACTGGATCCGCTTGCTCCCTGCCAGACAGTCTGTAACTGGCTCTGCCTGCTCCTTGGCAGAATGACTATAACTGGCTCCACCTGCTTCTTGGCAGACTGACTATAACTGGCTTCGCCTGCTACCTGGCAGACTGACTGTAATTGGCTACGCCTGCTACCTGACCGACTGACTGTAACTGGCTCCGCCTGCTACCTGACCGACTGACTGTAACTGGCTCCGCCTGCTCCCTGGCAGACTGACTGTAACTGGCTCCGTCTGCTCCCTGGCAGGCAGACTATAACTGGATCCGCCTGCTCCCTGCCAGACAGTCTGTAAGTGGCTCTGCCTGCTACCTGACCAACTGACTGTAACTGGCTCCGCCTGCTCCTTGGCAGACAGTCTGTAACTGGCAGTAAACACAGTGATGGTTAATAATAAAAGGAAGCCTTGACACAAATGGAGGCGGGGGATCAAATAGAGATGGCAGCAAGCCACAGGTAGGACTACAGTGAGTTGCATGTACGTAGCAGAGTGCGTTCGATAACTTGATTTTGTTTTTAAGTTTCTTGCTTCCATCCCAACGTTGCTCCATGTTATGAGAGAGGCCTCAAACAATGGAAGGTGCAGGCAGACTTCTTGAGTTGAGGTGAAAGTAGACCTTCAAGAAATTTATGCACGGTATGGGCAGCATGTCTGGTCTGTGTAGGCCCACCTGCAGGTCCCCTGGTTCACTGTCTACCTGAAGGGCCATGGAGTTATGAACAGCTCCTCGAATGACTTTGAGGAAACTGACATCGGTAGCCTAACAGGCAAGCAGATATAACACCAAAGCAAAATGGGCATGTGGGCTACAGCTAAGGTGGCGGCTAGAGTTGGAGCATAGAAGGGTACAAAAAGCAGACAATAGTTTTAATGGCTGCTGCCAGTAGGTATAATCTGACGGTACGATAGATACTGCATGGTCTACGGTGGCAGATAGTTTTCAGGCTCCAGAGGCCAAACATATTTATACTCCCGCAATGTGCTCAGGAAACTAGACCTTGCACAGGGACTGAAACAGTGCTCCCTGCCAGGTCTGTTCTCATTCACACCAGGCTGACCTACCTGTTACATGGGCAAAATGGCTTGCACCATATACTCTCTCCCACAGTCATCCTGTTTCTTTGCACACCGGGGTTGGGAGGTATGCAAGAGAGGTAAGCATCATGTCCTCTGTCAGTAGTGTGCATTTTCTTCATGTGCAATATTATAAACCGAAACGTCGCACGTGGCCACTTCAAAAAAGGGTCAGGAAACCATTCAATCACAGATAAAATGACTGTTAGTGGTATCGTTATAGAAAAATATACTAAAATCCACCTTCTTCTTTATAGGAACAAAACTACCGTCTACATACGCTGACCACTCATTGTAGAAACATTAGCTTCTAACATTTCTCAGTAAAGAAAAGGCCTGTGTGACATGAAATATAAAGGAGACAACTTAAAAAAGCCCAGAGGGCCAAACAAAATACCAAAAACAAGCTGCAATCTAATATTTTACAAAGGGTCTGCAGTGTAATGCCACATACTGACTGGAAATCCCACATAGGACACTGAGACTGTCTTAAAGGAGCACTATAAATCCCACATAGGACACCCAGACACTTTCTTAAAGGAGCACTATGAATCCCACATAGGACACCCAGAGACTTTCTTAAAGGAGCACTATGAATCCCACATAGGACACCAAGACTTTCTTAAAGGAGCACTATGAATCCCACATAGGACACCCAGAGACTTTCTTAAAGGAGCACTATAAATCCCCCATAGGACACCCAGACACTTTCTTAAAGGAGCACTGTAAATCCCACATAGGACACCCAGAGACTTTCTTAAAGGAGCACTATAAATCCCCCATAGGACACCCAGAGACATTCTTAAAGGAGCACTATATCATTACAACCCTGTATTCCTAACACTATAGTGCCCCTGTTTCTAGATTTTTACTTCCCTTTATCCAGAGCTGAGACTCTCTCAGCACAGCTCACTTCCCTGCCCTCTCCATGATGGTGCAGTCCAATACTCCTCATAGAGAAGCTATTCCTCTGCTTTCCTATGCGTTTCTGCGTCACATGACAGTTTTATTGGGTCAGTGCAGCGGAAGCACCTGTAGTGACTGTGTCATATATGTATGGTGGCAATAAGGGATTGTTAAGCTGCCCTTGCTCTACAGTTAAGAAAAGAGGTTCCGGATGGCGGCACGATGTCCTCAGTGGGGGAAGAAGCTCACTCATTCACAGTATAGCGCAGGTATAGCGCCACCTGCTGAAAAGAAGAGAGAATGCACAGCCATGCTGCAAAGAGATGCATAATTTAGAAGAATAGCACCAGGAAAGAAGAGGAGTAAAATAAGTCTGCTCTCCTCCCCGTATCTGTTGTAGGTCAGGGTAGAGTAGAGGGCTTGGCTGAAGACATCCTGATGAGAATAGAGGACCGCTCGGATGATGGGAGTAAGAGTCTATCTGGATGATATGCCAGTCCTGGAAGAAATGGAGGTGCAAGGTAGAGCTGGTATTTCTGGTGGTGAGTATGAACACAACTATGCTGAGTTGGTTAAGATTAGCAAATCAATCGTAGTGGTGACTGAAAAAGTTACGTGTTTTAAAGGCAAAAGCAGTCCGGCTTGGTGTAGTGGAAGTAGCGGTTAAAAGAAATAATTTATTAACCATGTGAAAGTTCACCGTTTGGAAAAACAGGAATTTGTACTTAACGTAAATTCTTTCTTTTTTTCTTAATATGGTGGCAGTAACTGAAGGGTTATACTTCTCCCTGTGGACAAGACATCTTAGCAATTATAAAAAAAGGACCCTCCCCCTTTACCTATAAAGTGTTGTACCTCCAGCCATACCCTAGTACGTGACAAGAAAAACAATACAGCCCAAATATTACTGCAAAACTTTTTTTATTTTTTTTTAATAGCAAAAGGGAGGGAAGTAGTACTGCCACCATATTAAGAAAAAAAGAATTCATGGTAAGTACAAATTTCTGTTTTTTTCTGTCATATGGTGGCAGTAACTGAAGGGATATAGCAAGATCTTCTTCTGGGCGGGATTTAGGCCACTACCGCTTGCAACACCTTACGCCCAAAGGCTGCTTCAGAGGCAGAGTATATGTCTAGCCGATAGTGCTTGATAAAGGTGTTAAACGATGACCAGCATGCTGCTTTGCAGATGACCTCCGCAGATGCAAGTGACTTCTCTGCCCATGAGGTAGCCATAGCTCGAGTTGAATGGGCCGTAAGTTTAGTTGGAGACTGAAGACCAGCCGAAGAATATGCCAATTCTATAGCCTGAATGAGCCAACGGGACAAGGTACCACGGGAAGCTACCATGCCCTTGAGGTGCCTCTGAAAATTAATGAAGAGATGATCCGATTTTCTGAATTCTTTTGTTCTTGTTAAATAAACAAACAATGCTCTTCTGACGTCCAATTTCTGCCATATGAGCTCTTGAGGAGATGAAGCATTGCTATAAAATGAGGGTAATATGATTGGCTGATTAACCGTCTTAGAAGACAACACTTTTGGTAGAAAGGACGGTCTTGGATAAAGAACAGAAAAAAGAAGAACAACCTTGTCATTGTGAAAAATGGTGAATTCATCCGAGGAAGAAAGAGCGTGAAGTTCTCCCACTCTTTTAGCTGATGTAATGGTTACCAGGAACAAAACCTTGAGAGAGAAAAAAAAATTTAATGGAACTTCTTCCAAAGGTTCAAATGGATGAACATTAAGAGCTTGTAGGACCAGGGTTAAATCCCATATTGGAACCCTAGATCGCTTAGGAGGTCGTTTGAGACTGATGGATCTAAAAAATCGTCTGATGAGGACATTGGTAGCCAGATCTTTAATAAGAAAGAAACTTAAGGCCGATACATGCACCTTGAGTGTGGAGACACTCAACCCAGCTGAAAACCCATCTTGTAAAAAATGGAGAATGTTATCTATAGATGGATGCAAAACTGGGCACTGGTGTTCCTTACCCCAGTGTAGAAATTTAGACCAAATCCTAAAATAAATCTTAGAAGTCGATTTTTCTAGTCGCGTGGAGTAAGATTGCTATTCTGTCTTCTTGGTTTTGAAGGATTAGCCTTGCAGTAGCAAAGCTGTCAACCTGAAAGTTTCTAGGACTTTCAAGGGCAGGTCCCGGTTCACAATAAGCAGATTTGATCTTGGAAGTTCCCAATAATTGATGGTCATTTCCTTTATGGCCGCAAACCAGACTCTGTTTGGCCAATATGGGATTATCGCCAATACCCTCGCTCTGTCTGTTCTTATCTTGAGAAGGACCTTTGGGATTAAGGGCAGAGGAGGAAAGACATAAGCTAGTCGGAAGTTCTACTCTATTGATAAAGCGTCTATCCAATTGGGCTGATCTGTTCTGCATAGGGAGGCGAAATTGTGAACCTTTTTGTTTGAGGCTCTTGCCATCAAGTCTACTTCTGGAAGACCGAATATTTCTGTCAGGTATCTGAAGATTTCCGGGTTCAAGGACCATTCTTTTTGGTCCCATTTCCCTCTGCTCAGATCGTCGGCTATTATATTGTCGCTGCCTCTTATGTGAACTGCTTTGATATCTTCCAGGTTTTTTTGTGACCATTCCATAATTTCTGCACAAAGACTGAAAAGCTTCCTTACTTTGGTTCCTCCTTGACGATTGATATACGAGACTACTGTTCGATTGTCCGATTGTATCATCATTGCTTTTTGTAGTATCCAAGGCCTGAGGTGAAGTAGTGCGAAATGTACTGCTAACAATTCTCTGAAATTTGCTGATTCTTTGGCTTCCTCTGATGACCATCTTCCTTGGAACATGATGGAGCCTATGTGAGCTCCCCAACCTGTGCTTGAGGCGTCTGTAGTGACTACCATCCAAACCTTTGGTCGAAAGGATAATCCTCCTGAAAGGCATTGTGATGTTTTCCACCAAGTAAGCTGATTTTTCACATGAGCCTGAAAATCTCGTCTAAATCTTCCTCCTTTTTTGACCAGGTAGTGAGGATGTTCCATTGCAACGGCCTGACCTCCGACCTTGCCAATTTGACAGCTGGAAAGGTGGCAATTAGAAGACCAAAAACACCCATTGCCTGTCTGAAGGAACAAGTTTCCATCCTTTGGAGATTGGAAATCTCTTCTCTGATTTTCCTCCTTTTTTCGTTTGGGAAGAAAAATTGACATGTAGACTGAATCTATCGTGAATCCGAGAAACTCTCTTTCGTGGAGATAAGTACTGATTTTTTTCAGTTTAAGATCCAGCCATGGTTTTGATGAAAACTTAGTGACCTGCTGGTCCTTGTGCAGCTGTTCTTCTGTATGTGCAATGAAGAGCCAGTCATCCAAATAAGGGATGATTGAAATACCTAATTCCCTCAAACGAGCTGTTAGAGGAGTAAGGATCTTTGTAAATATCCTTGGGGCGGAAGACAGACCAAACGGCAGAGCCCTGAATTGGAAATGAATGGTGGATTTTCCTCTTTTTATAGCAAATCTTAGAAATTTTCTTGAAGTGGTAGCGATTGGAACATGTAGATAAGCATCCTTTAAATCTATTTTTACCATAAAGTCGCCTCTTCGTAAAAGGGGAAAAATCAAAGTGATTGACTCCATACAAAATCTGTGATAGGGGATAAATTGGTTTATGTGTTTTAGGTCCAGAATGGGACGAAACGAGTGGTCTGGTTTTGGCACCAGAAATAATCTTGAATAGACACCCCGAAATGTTTGTTTTGCTGGAACTCTTTCTATCACTCTTTTTTGTAACAGCAGCATGGTTTGACAAAATAGGGCTTGTGATTTCTTTGCAGACTGGTATGTGGTTACCAGAAACTTTGTTCTTGGCTTTTCTGTAAATACTATCTGGTGTCCTTTTTGGATCAGATTTAGAACCCAAGGATTCCTTGTGGTGTTTACCCATGCAGGAAAATATTGTTGGAGCCTTCCTCCTACACTTTTGGCGTCAGAAACGTCTCTCTTTGTCTCTGAAGGTTCTTTTAATATCACCCCTTTGTTCGAATCTACGATTTTTATCCCTTCTTTGAAAAAATTGCGACCTCTCTTGATAGAAATTTTTATTCTGATAATTTCTGTATCCGGATCTCCAGGAGCTTATCTTGAGGAAGCGCTTTCTTGGTTTCTGACATTTGCCTAATGATTTCTTCTAAGGGAGCCCCAAATTTTGTTTTTTCTAGTCGAAGATCGCAAAGGACTGATTTAGAGACTGTATCTGCTGTCCAAGACCTTAACCATAAGGCCCGTCTTGCTACCGAGGATAGTCCCATAATTCTGGATGCTAACTTTAGAACTTCTACTGACATATCCAAAAGGTATTCATTAGCCAAATGCATTTTCTTAAACAAGTGGTTTAATTCTTTAACCTGGTCAGACGAAAAAACATCCTGTATCGTATTTAGCCAGATATCATTTGCTCTGGCAACCGCTGCTCCTGCCAGTAAAGCCCTGCATTGGAAACCGGCTGTCTGGTAAACTCGTCTACACAAGGTTTTGGCTCTTTTATCCATTGGATTCTTCAAAGCTGAAGTTTCCCCTATAGGGATAGTGGTCCTTTTAGCAATCTGCGTGACCTGAACATCTACTTTTGGGAGATCTTCCCAAATAACTTTGCCAGCCAGTCTGAAGATATCCTTGAAGTGTCTAGAAATAAAGGCATGTTTTTCAGGGTTTCTCCATTCCCTAAAAATGAGATCGACGAGGCTTTGCTGTACAAAAAAAACCCTTTTTAGGATTCTCAGTATCCTGAGGTAGGATTGTTAGGTTAACTTCCTTTTATAAATTTTCGAATCTCATCTGAAGGAAAACCAACCGGTTCACTTGAAGAGGAGCCTGAATCAATTGATGAAATATATTCCCCAGATGAGCTTTCAGATGTAGACGGTGACCTTCTTCTTTTCTTGATCTTTTGTTGTATCGGGGATTCCACCTTTTTAGACTCCTTAATCGTCTCCAAGGTCTGGGCCAGATTTTCATGGAACCAGGTTAGGAAAGACTGCATATCTTTTTGCTTATCTCTTTCCAAAGAATTTGCGGTACACTGACTGCACATCTTTTTCCTTGATCCATCTGGGAGAGGCGTTGCACATTCACTGCAAACTAAATGTTTAGATTTTACCGTAGCCTTTCTAGGCGTAGCAGCAGCCAGCTTTTCTTTGTCCATGTCCGGATAAGCTGGGCTAGACATATCCGTGGAGAACATATGAAAGGAGGTTTTTTAGCTTGAGTTGAAGGAATATTTTCAGAGAATATTTTAAAGTAAAGATTAAATTAAGTCTCACCTCAAAATACCTCTGAGCCGTGTGGGGGGCAGATTATACGGTGTACTATTTCCGACAAGCATTCATGCAGTCAGTAGGTACTGCACAGCTTTTTATATTTGCCGGATTTAAATTTTCGCGTATTTTTTTTTTTTTTTTGTATGCCTTTAAGGTTCCGGTATGTGCATGCTTGTTAGCGCACCCGGAAGCCTAGGTGGAACGCGTTCCACCGCTGTGCGCATGCTCGGTCAGAGCTCCACCTCCAGGAAGTAATGCCGGAACCGTTCTCGGCAGAAATAGCTCTCCTTCCAGTTGCTCCATAACCTTACCGGTTAGGAGCATGGTCACGCAGCCTACCGCCCGGGCAGCTCTCGGACCATGTCCCCCAGACAAACATCACGTGTGTCTCACCATCCGATGTCCTGTCCTTCCTCTCGGGACAAGAAAGAAGACTGGGTTATGTCTGGAGGTACAACACTTTATAGGTAAAGGGGGAGGGTCCTATTTTTATAATTGCTAAGATGTCTTGTCCACAGGGAGAAGTATAACAGAAAAATAGAGAGTGTTGAGTTGCTGTCGTTTTTTCCTATCTTCCGGCGTACCCAAACAGGGAGAGCGCTAAATTACTGTTTAAAGGGACACTATAGTCACCAGAACAACTACAGCTTATTGAATTTGTTCTGGTGTGTAGAATCATTACCTTCAGGCTTTTTGCTGTAAGCACTGTCTTTTCAGAGAATATGCAGTGTTTACATTACAGCCTAGTGATAATTTCACTGGCCATTCCTCAGATGGCTGTTAGAGATCCTTCCTGGCTCATGGCTGCCTAAAATGCATCCAAACATTCAGTGTCTCCACCCTCTGCATGCAGACACTGAACTTTCCTCATAGAGATTCATTGATTCAATTCATCTCTATGAGGAGATGCTGATTGGCTAGGGCTGTGTTTGAATCATGCTGGCCCTGCCCCTGACCTGCCTCTTTGTCAGTCTCAGCCAATCCTATGGGGAAGCACTGTGATTGGATCAGGCCACCACTTCTAATGATGTCAGCAGACTGCTTGTTTTTATGAGTCTAACAGCATGCAGAGTTACAGCTTCGGGCTTGAATATAGTAAGATTTTGCTATATTTATGGAGACATGAGGGGCCCAGGGGGACAAGATGGTGGTTTTAACACTATAGGGTCTGGAATACATGTTTGTGTTCCTGACCCTATAGTGATCCTTTAATAACCCATTCAAGGAAGGAGGAAAAATATTCAAAATAATAACAGGATATTGAGCATCCCATTGGCAGACATTTATCAAAATAAAACTTATCAAGAAACGAAAAACCCAGTGAACTGAAATCCTCCGGATGCACTGGCAATAATCTGAAGGCTGGCTCAATGTCCACCTTAGCCATCAATGCACCCGGGCCAAATTTACGTACCTGCTGAGTGTATCATGAAAATAGGCATAGGATAAAAACAAAGTGTTTTCATCAAATTCATAATTTAATGACACACCAGCCAGGTGACCTAATTGATGAATTAGCCTTAATCACCCAGGCTCCTTTTTAGGAATTAAACCTAAAGGGGACAGACGGAAATTAGCAAGAGGACGGCAGTCAAAAGGACCCACCATTCTACCTAAAGTTAACTCCCTTTGCTTCTTGCGGACAGCTGTAACATCCTGCAAAACAGATTTTTAAATGAACAAATAAACAACCAGAACCAAAAACTTTGGGATTGTAAAACCTTTAACAAAACCATTAAAGTTTCTGAGGTTAGGCGTCTCATTACTAATTTGGGGATAGAAGATTTACTTGATGTTTTGAATGTTGTATGTTATTCTTAATTCAAAGTATTTTTGCCTCAGCTTTCTTTGCAGCACAGAAGTTTCAGGTCGTTTTTATTATTAGGGATTTGAAGGCAGATATTTGGTAGCAGTGTTCAAAAACCAATCAAATGGGAATGGTAGGTGGCTTTACTTGTCTGGTATCAAGGAAGGCAGAGTTTGTCCAGTAGAAATGTTGCAAGCTTAGCTGCTTGTCTTGCAGTATACGGTCCTCTGTGGGCTCATATTTCGGGCTCTCCACCAGCACGTTTTCAATTCCAAAGGGTTTTGCAGTTATGCTTTGAAAGGCTTGGTCATAGAGGTAAATTGACTTCACAGCCTTTCAGGACTGGAGCAGCGACTGAACGGCTAAATTGGGTTTTTGAGCAGATGCAATCAAGAAGACTGGGATATGGGAATCAAATTGTTTTACGTTAAATGAACATGACATGATTTAATGCTGGTTTTTCCTCCTATCATTCTTATTATTTTCTTTAGATACCAAAACAAATTCCTTTGTCAAGCGGGCAATGCAAATAGCAGGAGCCAGAATAGATGGGCTGAATTATCAATATATTGTTACGGTGTAGGTAATTTAAGAAATCATATTGGATTATGCATCAAGGTGGCCAGCTCCAGCTCTTTTAATAGTTCTCATCGTGGGTAATGATATAGGTGTTAAATCAGTTAATTTATTAGTGTTTTAAAGAATGTTTTTATGTCACTTCGTCAGTTATTTATGAGTTGTTCATTTATCAAATATTTGAATTGATATCAACCTGGATTTGTAAAACATGATAGGAAGGGCCTAGGCGGGAGTAGTTTCTACCGCAGCTGAGGCGATGGGGCAAAAGTCATCATCAGGTTTAAGCTCTGAGGGAGGATATGGTGGTAAAAAGTTTGATATAACAGGTGGTCAGGTCATCCAAGGCAATAAAAGTTCCAGTTCATAGAATATTCTAACGCTATTTAAAATTATTGTTGTAGGCCCCCATAAGTTTTGAATAAACACCACGGCCTAGCCTCTTGAAAATTAAATAAAGTGTCTTTATTGTGTGGTGTAAGTTATTTATGCAGAAAATTTCCTACCATCCATGTAAACATTGTAATTTCTAAAAACAATAACCTTATTTTATATCACAGGATTTAAAATGGCAGAACCACTGCACCTAGACCACTTCATTGAAATCCATCGAGATGAAGTTGGTCTGGGAGACCCCACACACAGATCTCTAAAAGATGGAGTTGAGCCACTTAAAGACTGATGTGGGGAAGTTTGTTTTGGGTTTTTAATTTAACACACAGCTACAAATTATTTCTCAAGTTTTGCATATTCAGAATTTATTTGTTTACCTCTAGTTAGACATCTGGAGGTGAAGGCCATGTTTCTGCACTCACTTGTAAATAAAATGCAGCCATAGGATGTAGATACCACGGTACTCTGTAAAACACTTTATTCTGTACAGCGCGTGCAAACAAAATCTACAAATGCACACAATATGTGGAAATATATCCCTGCAATAAAACTGCTGAAGGAAAAAGGGCAGCCGCAAAGGAGAATGGAGAGGGCAGAGGACAGCAGGACTGGGAGGGAGGAGTGTGGAAAGAGATCCTGCTCCAGGAGAGGGAGGAGCATGAGAAGGGGATTTCCACCAGGTGAGAGGAGCACAGGGAAGAGGATTGACGCCAAGTACTGGAGGAGCACAGGAAGGGGATTAGAGCCAGGTGCAGGAGGAGCACAGGGAAGAGGATTAGCGCCAGGCACTGGAGGAGCCCAGGAAGGGGATTAGCGCCAAGCATTGGAGGAGCCCAGGAAGGGGATTAGAGCCAGGTGCAGGAGGAGCACAGGAAGGGGATTAGAGCCAGGTGCAGGAGGAGCACAGGGAAGAGGATTAGCGCCAGGCACTGGAGGAGCACAGGGAAGAGGATTAGCGCCAGGCACTGGAGGAGCACAGGAAGGGGATTAGCGCCAGGCACTGGAGGAGCACAGGAAGGGGATTAGAGCCAGGTGCAGGAGGAGCACAGGGAAGAGGATTAGCGCCAGGCACTGGAGGAGCACAGGGAAGAGGATTAGCGCCAGGCACTGGAGGAGCACAGGAAGGGGATTAGCGCCAAGCACTGGAGGAGCACAGGAAGGGGATTAGCGCCAAGCACTGGAGGAGCACAGGAAGGGGATTAGCGCCAGGTGCAGGAGGAGCACGGGAAGGGGACTAGCACCAGGCGAGGGAGAACGGGAAGAGGATTAGCGCCAGGCGAAATAGGATCTTTAGAAGGTGATTAGCATTAGGCATGGGAAAGAGGAGGTAGGAGGGCTTCTGTTCCAAGGAAGGTAAAAAGGCAGGATGAAGGAGGACATGCCAGGGGTGAAAAGGTAGGGAGGCACACTTAGGCCCAGATAATTTCACAAGAACCTTATGCCAATCCTGGGGCTCTGTGATCATGATGGGCTAAATAATCCTGTAGTGCAACAGGGTATTGTTCTGCACTGGGCAAAGTGAACCTTTAGTGAAGCTTGTGACTAAACCTGTAGGGCTGCCCTAGCCTTCAGCTTACACAGGGAAATGGGTACCTCGTTTTATTGATTCAAAGTAATATTATATATAAAATCATGTAGCTATCCTTAGAAAACACTGGGGATGGCTCTATACTGTTTATTTAAAGACTGAAAGGGAGGGGGATGTTCTTTTTAGGATCTGGGAAGAGGGACTTAGTCCTCGTTCTTTGGAGATTGCAGCCTCAGTAGTTGTAAGGAAGTGGCCCCTGTAATCCTGGAATGAGCAATTCTTGTTGCGCTGTACGTTTTCAGAAAATCTCAGTACTGCAAATAAACACTCCAGTCCTCCACCCGCATGGGGAACACATCTGGCTTCTGTAAATTCTTCATTCAACCAAAAAGCGCTTTTAAAATGGTTTGGCTGACCATTCAGATTACTGTAGAGCAAAGGCTAAAACCTGAGAGGGAGACTGGAGACATGTTCCCTATCTGGAACAACCAGCATAGCTCCCTCATCATATGGTGTGTTCCGTGGCTGGTGATTCTGTGTAGCAGGGAAAGGACATGAACCTCTTCCATTCTTGCTGGAGATGTCAGAGGCCACCGGTCTCCGTGGCAATAACCTGCAGACTGCACACATGTCCAATACCCTTAGTTACGCCCTCTCTGAATAGGAGTTTTGTCCCAATTTTTAAGTATTCCGGGTGTTTAATAAATCGGAAACGTACAACAGCTTTCTCCCCAGTCCGCAGTTCATCCTACAGGAGACACAAGAAAAGAATAAGAAAAGAGTGGGTAGGAAAAAAAGTAGAGAAAGCATGTGTCCGTGTCTTCTCACCTTGCCATGTATATGCTCCAGGACAGCCGTTTGTCTGACATTTCCCACGTGCACTGTGACCTGCACTCCACGGCGACATGAAGTGGCATGAAACAGCAGCACAATCTCAGCCTCAAACACCCAGCACACAGTGGGCAGCATCTCCGGACTAACCATCACCATGCCCTGCAGAGAGCAAGCACATAAGATACAGACTGAAACCGTAGGGCCTGATTTTCAGAACAGCCATGTCCTCATGTTCCCTCAGCCCAGGTTTTGCCAATAATCCAACCATTTGAGGTCAAGTGGACTGACCTAGAACCCCTTTCTGTATCAGTTAAGGGGTTCATATACTCACCTTCCGTAGGAGCGAACGGTCAAACGCTCCCAATGCAAGTGTTGCAGCCTGTCCAGCACGCAGCACACGACATGCAGAACGATTCCTCTGTATACTACACACTTTCAGCGGCAGGAAGCCCCCTCCATCTGTGGGGCCGACCACCAGGCGTTCCCCTTCTTTACAGACACCACTACAAAGAAACAAACCACAACACTCAGCAGGCCTGCTTCCACAACTTGGCCTGTACAATCTGGATTATATCATGAGCTCTACTTCCCTACAATCACACCCATCAATGCAAATTCCTGGAGCCCTCCCTTACACACCCCCACACTAACTCCTGTAACCCTACCTAACTCAGTCCCTTTCACCTCTGACACTAATTCCTGTCATTCCCTTTCACCTCCGACACAAACTGCGGTCATCCTCTCTTACTCTGTCCCTCTCACCCACCCATTAACTCCTGTAACCGTACCATACACACAGTCCCACTGACCCTCCCACTAACTCCTGTAACCGTACCATACACACAGTCCCACTGACCCTCCCACTAACTCCTGTAACACTACCATACACAGTCCCACTGACCCTCCCACTAACTCCTGTAACCGTACCATACACACAGTCCCACTGACCCTCCCACTAACTCCTGTAACACTACCATACACAGTCCCACTGACCCTCCCACTAATTCCTGTAACACTACCATACACACAGTCCCACTGACCCTCCCACTAATTCCTGTAACCGCACCACACAGTCCCACTGACCCTCCCACTAATTCCTGTAACCGCACCATACACAGTCCCACTGACCCTCCCACTAATTCCTGTAACCGCACCATACACAGTCCCACTGACCCTCACACTAACTCCTGTAAGACTACCATACACAGTCCCACTGACCCTCACACTAACTCCTGTAAGACTACCATACACAGTCTCACTGACCCTCACACTAACTCCTGTAAGACTACCATACACAGTCTCACTGACCCTCACACTAACTCCTGTAAGACTACCATACACAGCCCCACTGACCCTCACACTAACTCCTGTAAGACTACCATACACAGCCCCACTGACCCTCACACCAACTCCTGTAAGACTACCATACACAGCCCCACTGACCCTCACACTAACTCCTGTAAGACTACCATACACAGCCCCACTGACCCTCACACCAACTCCTGTACCCCTACCTTACTTGGTCCTTTTCACCTCCGACACTAACTGCGGTCATCCTCCCATACACGGTCGCTCTCACCTCCATAATAACTCTTGTAACCCTCCTATACACCCCTAAACTAGCTCCTGTAATCCTACCTTACACTGTACCTCTCAGCCCCCAACTAACTCCTGTAATCCTTTCTAGATATGACCACTATTCCGATTTCAATTCCCTAATTTGGAGATTGTCAGAGGGCCCCCACCTGTACAGTGTTCCTCCCACAACGGTTCCTACTTCAGGCACAGAATATATTTCATCAACCTGCAAGAAGAAAGGGGTTTTCAGCTGCCAGACTAAACAGAAACTAAACATCCTCAGATGACCCAAGACCCACCTGAAACTCCGGTAGCTGCTGCATCAGTTCTTCCTGTTCGTGGCTATTAGTGAGGGGGGGCAGAATATTCAGGAAGACTTTGAGGAGTTCCAAAGATTCCCCAGAAACACTGGACAGGGCGAAGATCGGTGTGATGCTATAATAAAGGGAAATAAAAAGGTATTTGGGGGGGCACACAGAACAGTGGAAATGCTATTCAGGATCACAATGTACAGTGCAGTGGCCACTGAGTTGAACGCTAAAGGAAGCAGAGGGTATCGGGACACAACCTGCCAGAGACAGAGAGCAAACCTCTAGGAAGCCTAGGTATTGCTGTGAGATTTACGAGTGGATCCCCCAAGGATTACTGCACCCCTTACTTTGGTGATTGTGCAAACTGCTGGGCTGCAGTTACGGCATCATCCTCTGAGCGCACCATGAATGGCACCTTGTTACAACCAGGCTGCTTGAGTGTCCGCTCCAGCTGTCTAAGTGTTCGTTCTACAGTGGATGATGAGCACAAATCCACTTTACTGACCACCAGGAAGAAAGGAACTTTCAGCGCCATGGCCAGACCCAGGTGCTCCCTTGTGGTGCCTGCTGCAGGGAAAAATGAGACATCAGTGATGCCCAGGTCACTAATCCAAAATAAAAAAAAATTAAAAAAAATAAATTAAAAAAAAAAACCACACACTCCTGTGGGGTCTCATACCCTAAATCATTTCACAGGCGAATACAGAAATGGTTTCATTACACACCTTAAAAACCATTTATATGAAGATGTGGACTGAGCCATGACAGCAATCACCATGAAACAACCAGATAAAGGAATTTACAGTTTACGACGAGAAGCTAACAGGAACCTAGAGGCAGCCAGAACAGTTTGGGAAAAAAAAAATCACTCTCTGGAATTTATTCAATAAATAGAAGATTGAAAATCAGTTATTACTGTGGAGTCGCCCAGTTGCATGACACAGAACTGTGGATTTCTACATTTACTTTTATTTTGCTGAAAAGCTTGGAGTGAAAAGTGTGTCTTTTTTTTTTTTTGCAAAAAAGAGCAGATTCCAATTGAAATTTACACTTTTCTAAATAATACTGGTTACACCCCCTGGCTTTCAATCAGATAACAGGTCCTGTTACTTCCTGGTTTGTTCAGCGCAGTAGGCATAAACCCAAGAGGCAGAAACTGCCCAGAGCACCTGCCGTGCAAAGACTTCTCATTGAGCTGCATTGGACAGCCACAGAAAGTCTGGGCGGGGTTAGAAGGAAGGGGAGGGTACAGTATTATATCTTGGGGAGAGGAGGCTAGCCCAGTATTTGATGTTGGGGAGAGGAGGCTAGCCCAGTATTTGATGTTGGGGAGAGGAGGCTAGCCCAGTATTTGAGGTTAGTGAGAGGGGGGTAGCCCAGTATTTGAGGTTAGTGAGAGGGGGGTAGCCCAGTATTTGAGGTTAGTGAGAGGGGGGTAGCCCAGTATTTGAGGTTAGTGAGAGGGGGGTAGCCCAGTATTTGAGGTTAGTGAGAGGGGGGTAGCCCAGTATTTGAGTTAGTGAGAGGAGGCTAGCCCAGTATTTGAGGTTAGTCAGAGGGGGGTAGCCCAGTATTTGATGTTAGTGAGAGAGGACCCAGGAATCCGCCATATCGCCAAGTCTTGCCGATACCTCAACTCCCAGGAGAGGGAAGGAATCTGCTATTGTTACAGCATCAGCTGGGATCTGTGGCAACAACACTTACCAATACCAGTGTTGGCGCTCACCACCAGCATGGCAAAGTCAGGACAGTAACTGGTGAGACCAAAGATGGTCGTTTTCAAGTACTTGTGGTGACCAGCTAAGTCTATGAATGTGATCATCTTGGAGGCAGTTTCACAGATCTGCTCTGCCGTGCGAGATTCACTGTAATTCACCACCTGTCACAGGTAAGAGGGGAGGACAGGTATCAGTGAGTTATTCAACCAATCACCAGTAAGCAGTGCACACTGTCCATAGTTTCCCAATCCACCAATCCTAAATGGTCATCCCAGAAGACCAATAAGAATTTAATCTAGCTCTGAGGAGTCAGTCCTGGCTAAACCTGCTAGTTACCCAGACTGCCACTCATCCGGTGAGAGAGGATACAATTGATATTGGTTAAACCAACACTCCCATGATATTCAACACATACGTGGACTAGATGTCTGAATGAAAAGATAGGCCTAACAGCACAGTGTAAATTTTGGCAGCAAATTTCAACTTCGTTTTAGTCGTAGTTTAGTCATCTGAATTGTTTTAGTTTTAGTCAACTCAACTAAAATCTAATGGGTTTAGTTAAAGCCCCTGTCTCTTTTGTCCCTTCCTCAGCCCCTCTAGGTGTCTCTCTCCCCAGCTGGTCTGTCTCTTTTGCCCCTTCAACAGCCATTTTGTGCAGTGTTAATTTTGGCAGCAAATTTCAATTTAGTTTTAGTCATAGTCCTTTAGACTAATATAGCAGTTTTAATCGTAGTTTAGTCATCTGAATTGTTTTAGCCGACTAAATTAACATTGTAACCACAAGCTGCCTTTAAACATCGCACAGAAGCCTTTCACACAATACAGAGAGCGCCTCACACAGAATGCCAAAGAATTGTAGCGTTACAAATTAATGTAAAAAAGCTTGCTACAATCACAACAGAGAATTTTGTCTATTTTGGTGTACGGTCATTCAGTCCATGCGAGATTACTGTGTGTTACAATGAATATGCTTTCCTTACAGCTATGTACACATCCTCACCCCACAGGCCCAGACACATAGGGACACACTCACGACTACAACAGAAAGTCCTTTAGGTCCACTGGCTCGAGTGCAGCTCATGGCACACTCATTGCGCAAACCTCAGACTGGGGTGGGAACCCCAAACCAAATAGTGGACTACGAACATTTCTTTAACATAGTGCTTTTTTCGTTGTAGGATATTTTTTACTTGATCGCCAAGACTAAAGACAAATATAAAGGAGGTGCTAAGCAAGTTAACAAAAAAAAAAAAACATACCAGATTGCTGCAATTTACCTGCAAAGCAATTTATGAATGCAAAGTACCAATGACTACAGAATAACGTAGCATGGAAAATTTGTTGTGCAAGGGTTTATGGGATACGCACAAGACTGTCAAAGAGAGAGCTTGATTTTTCTGCCAGTGATTTATGTTGTTACAGGTCTCAGCAACAGACAGACACAGGACCGTACACTACAATTCCCAAAGCTTTAAAATGATTTGTTAACTGGAAAGAAACTTGTGCAAAGGCTGGGATGCAACAGGCAGTATGTACATCCAGCAGATCCAGGCCAGTCCCATACTTGCATTATTTCTAAACGTTCAGTGGAGCAGGGCATCCCTCTTGTGCACACCATGAGAAAACAGCTTTATTTTAAGCCATATTATAGGATTACATGCTCATGGCATTATTTGGGTGACAAATCAGGTTTGTACAAAACCCAGAGTTTACGCCTTTGTTTGACATGCAACTCAACTACTCCAGTCTAATAAATGACAAGTCACTTCCTCCCTAAGGATACCATTTATGCAGTGAATAATACAATCCAGCCCCTGTGACATAGGTGTAACAGACAGGCTTCCAAAAACATGAGCTGTATAGAGGGGGGCTATTCATCAATATGTAGAAAGGAGAGCCATTTAAATACAGGTAGGATTATTCACTAAACTGAGAATAGTTAGGACTTCGATTAGAATTTTAAATTTAAGGCCAAAGTAGCCAAAATGGAAGCATGGTTGACCTAGTTTTTTTTTTTTTTTTTTTAGAATGGGAGGGCTTGCAAAGGCTGCAGACAAATGATCTGCAGCTTTTACAAGCGGTTTTTAAACATACTTTTTTTTCCTATTTAGTCAGTGTTCCTCTCAAAAGAATTGTTAAAGTTCCCAGGAGATAGAGACTATTAAAGAGGAGTTAGAAATGCCTACGATAATAAAATAGCTTGTTTGGGATACATTTTATAGCCCTCGTGAACACAAAGATTCATTAATCTTTCCCAGACACAGCTGGTCTTAAGTTAAAGTGTACAATATCTAAAAGAAATGTAAAAATTGAGAAATAAATGCGTAGGTTTATCCCTTCCTTCTGGAAGAGAAAATACTGTTACAGCACTGTGAGTGAGGACTACGGTATCATTTCAGCTGTTTGTGTGATGGAAACGTATTTATTTATTGTAAGTGTATGCACTGTTAGTAGGGATTCATCCCTGGTATATCATTTATTAGTAACCTAGGACCACAAATGTGAACACAGACACACTGTTCCAGGTTCGGTTATTACACGCACAGACCCAATATGCCAGATTATTAATTGCTTTCAATGAAGAGCAACATGTGACTTGTAATCAGTACTCAATGCTTTCCTATGGACGTTCATTGTCTTAGAATCGCGAAAGCTCCTCTAGCGGCTGTCAATGAGACAGCCACTAGAGGCTGGATTAACCCTCAGTGAATCAGCTGCAGGGTTAAAACTAGAGGGACCTGGTACCCAGACCACTTCATTGAGCTGATGTGATCTGGGTGTCTGTAGTGGTCCTTTAAGTGTATGTGTATCTGCATGCACTCGCGTACATACCACGGTCGCAGCCCTGCAATCAGGTGCCCGCTGCCATGTGTTGCGGCTCCAGCCCGCACAGAGTAATCGTGCGCGGGGGTGGGGGGGGCCACGGATCAGTTTTCGCACCAAGGCCCCATGGGTTGTGTGTACGCCACTGCTTGTAATGACCAAAAGCAGCTGACTAGCTTCAAAATAGGAGATATACAAACAAAAAGGGTATTTATTAAGAATCAGTAGTTATCTATAAATAGAGGTAAATCTGCAGAACAGAGGAGGAACATTTTTTATTTATAGTGTAGCATTTTATTCTTTAGACAAGAGTTACACGAAATATTCATCTAGTACGCAATATATTGTTTTGTTGGCAGAAAAACGTAAGCTGCAGCTCATGTCTTACTGCTTGCATGACATGCACATCACCTAAAAAAAAAAAACCCTTAAGACATTTATGAGCTATGCCCAGAGAGACCTTAACCCCTTAAGGACACATGACATGTGTGACATGTCATTATTCCCTTTTATTCCAGAAGTTTGAGGACAGTTGTCCTTTCATGGGCCAGACAGGTGGAGGGGTAACAGGTTCGTAGCAGCCCAGAACGGAGGTCAGATTACAATACCAGTAGGTCATGTCATAAAGTCTTGGAAAGAACAGCAGGAGACAGCGTCACAGTTCAGAATCTTGAAAAGCTGTAAAAAGGAATAGGACCAAAAGCAACTCACAGAATCCTGACAAGGATACACCTTATCTTCTTAAGTCCAAAGACAGAGGTCACATATTTGTAAACAAATCTCACACACACAAAAACACAAAACACTTTACAGCTATCTATATCTTTTACAGTATGTGCTGAAAAGGCTGAAAGTTGTGTCCTTGAATAAAAGCACCCTTTCATCCATACCCACTTGCTGCTCACCTCTCCTTTACTGTTAAAGCCCAAAATTTCGAAGCTAATGCTGGATGTCCGCCCAGATTGGATTTCGTGAAGGTGGCGGAAGAGATTCAGCCTTGCCCGGCCACGGCCATTGTCTAATTCACCCTGTGTCAATACACCCAGCAGTGTGGATTTCCCAGAGTCTACGTTACCAAGCACAGCAACCCGCAGATCCAAGAACTGGGGGAACAGAAAAGGTCAGAGAATACAATGCAGGGAAGGGACAGCTGGAGGTACATGCATCTTTATAAACCCACAGTGCAACAGAATGAGACTACTCTACTTTGCAGTCAGTGTGAAGGCAGAGAGTGACATCAGTTCATTTTCAGATGTGGCCGGTCCTTTACCTGCTGGTTGTCCGGCACTTTACGTATTAGAACCTCTGTTATGTGCCTGGGGCTGTCACTGTCATATTCCACCTCCCTCTCTCTGAGAACCGTGATATCTGCTCCAACCCTGAAAGGATACAGACATATATACTGCTCAGGAGACGCATAGCCATATACACGGTGTGCCAAATGTTCTTATCCAACCGTGCAGACAAAAAATTAATACAACACACAGGAATCCATGCAGACATTCCACCAACGACACAGACACCTTCCTTTCCAGTGCCTGGCTGAAATGATGGAATTAGGAAGAAGCCCTCCATAGCAGGTGTCCCAATAGCAGCAAGAGAAGTCTGCAGATCTCCAGGGATCCCACCACTACAGGTACAACAACCACTCCCACCACGGAAGAAATGCTGGCAGGAGTGGCAGAGACCAGGAATGTTAATACTCCTAACCCAGGTGTAGCAACTTTCGGCATTCCATCTCCCCTTATACTTTGCCCTCGTTACATCTGTAATAACATTACAGGAGATGTAATCTACAATATCTGGAGTATCAGAAGTTGCCGACTCCTGACCCAACCTATTTCCATTTAAAAAAAGTTTAAGCGTAAAGAGCTGCCTGTCTGTTCAAAAGAAAATGAATAAATACAAACAGTAGTTGTGGTGCGGTTAGTTGTATGAAAAACAGATGTAACAGGCATTAAACACGGTCATATGTATGGTGGCAATAAAGGGTTAAGCGGACCTTGCTCTATAGTTAGGGAAAGTAAAGTCCATGACCCCTGGTTAAGTTGTTGGGTAGAGTGAGACAGATAGCTGGGGATGCAAGCGCAGTAGAGAGCAACATCACAAGCGCAATCCCTGGCAGCGGTTTCCTTGAGGTCAGGATCAGCACGGAGAGACCCCCACCCTCCCCTATTTACTTTCTTTAGAATTAATGTTGTGGTGTTATGAAGCATTGGGGCAAAAGTCATCATCAGGTTCAAGTTCTGAGGAAGGATATGTTGGTAAATGGTTGTATATAAAAGGAGGTCGGTCAGGTTAGCTATGACTGACCCGCAATTAGGTGGTGACGATTTTATGTAAAGGTTACAGTTATTACGTTATGGTGGTATGGCCCCTATTAAGCTTTAAATAAAGACCCGGGCCAAGCCCATTGACATATACATAAACTGTGTGTGTTGTGTGGTCCAAATTATTTATGTGAAAAATTGCCTAACATACATATAAGGATGTACACTGATTGACTACTTTAGTAGGAGGCCAACTACAGCCACAACCTTGTCAATTCATTTCAAAACCTGCAAGGTTATACAACAGACGCACACAAACACAGAGTCCGAGAGTATACAACAGACGCACACAAACACACAGGGTCCAAGAGTATACAACAGACGCACACAAAACACACAGGGTCCAAGAGTATACAACAGACGCACACAAACACACAGAGCCCAAGAGTATACAACAGACGCACACAAACACACAGGGTCCAAGAGTATACAACAGACGCACACAAACACACAGAGTCCAAGAGTATACAACAGACGCACACAAACACACAGAGCCCAAGAGTATACAACAGACGCACATAAACACACAGAGTCCAAGAGTATACAACAGACGCACACAAACACACAGAGCCCAAGAGTATACAACAG